TTCAAGACATACATCTTACGTGGTCCACCTTTCAAAGACCACAACCGTTGTCTACTCATACCGTAGGGCACACTAATGAACTTCAGCGTAATACGTTCCGATTAACTTATTTTCTTTAAGCAACTGTAGTGTCAGATAGCTCTTATGTTTTTAGTACACTTTGGTTGTTGACCTTTCCTGTTGAGGTAGATCTAATCTAAGGAGCCTGTTCCTCCCCAATTTCTTCGTCTCAGTCAGACTGCAAACTTCTCGTTGACGGGAAGATGAGTGGACAGCATTAACAGCAAGGCGCCTGACATCCGAAACTATTGGCATGAATGCATTTAATTATGGGCATTTTGGGCGGCTGCTCAACTTCTAACTTCAGTTTTATAGTCCGACGAGACCAAATTACTACGTTTAACGCATTCTGACTAAATCGCTGCGCTTTGATTTATGCATCGGTCCATTTGTATGTAGGTGTCTGCAATCTACGAACGGGAATGCTCATTCTCGTACGTTCACGGTATTTTAGCCAACATGCGTAGGAGGTAATCTCAACGTCGTGAAGTCTTGGAGATCATCATGTTTACTTTGAAACAGGAGGATAGTAACTATTTATCGTCCGTAGACACCGTAATTCACTCAAAGGAAAAAACATACCTAGTGTCCACAGTATACTTGAGATAATTAGCAACAGGGTGTGAGTTCCACGGTTTACTGTTAGCTTATAGCTTAGTACTCAATAATAAAACAGCTAGGGTCCAAACCTGTAGCTTTTCGGCTGCCCAATGGCCAGGATTCGCTGTTCAAGTGTCTATCGAATTTGTAGTACATTAATTTTTGTCATGGGTGACAAGCAGATGAAAGTACATGTTTATAGTTTAATATGCTTTCCGTGTTCCATTCACCAGCAAACGAATATCGTACGTCTCAACTTATTGATTACGAGCATTTAATCAATATTTAGACATTATTTCGCCTATTTTTCAACCAGACGGTTGTCTAGCAGTAGGTGCCTGCTATGATCCACAAATTAAGAGGTGGTGCAACTTTTACAGTGGTAGCCGTTTGGTGTGTCGGTAAACCCCCGTTACTGGTGCTAAAACTCTGATTAGTACTTTATTGATCATTAATAAATCTAACTGGTAATTCTTGAATGCCATTCTGGACGGCCTTCTTGGCACCGATTGATTGTCGAGTATGTATTTACTCGTACTATGCGCCGAAGCTTCCGTCATATGACCTGCCGTACATCGGCCTA